TACAACACAAAGAGTGAACCCTGATGGAAATTATGGGCTTTACTTAATAATATGTCAATATTGAGTCACTATTTGTAACACATTACTGCATTAATACAAGATATTAATAATTGAGGAAACTACTGGGGAAGGAGGACTTGGGTGGAGTGGGTGTCTGGAACTTTATGTACTATCTGCTCAATTATTCTGCAAATTGGCCGGGTGTGGTGGCTCACATCTGTAGTCTCAGCACTTTGGGAGGCCAAGGCAGGTGGATCACCTAAGGTTAGGAGTTTGAGACAAATCTGGCCAACATGGTGAAACTGTGTCTCTCCTAAAATTACAAAAATTAGCCAGGTGTGGTGGCAGGTTCCTGTAATCCCAGCTACTCAGGAGGCTAAGGCAGGAGAATCGCTTGAACCCAGGAGGAAGAGATTGCAGTGGGCAGAGATTGCACCACTGCACTCCAACCTGGGCAACAAGAGCAAAATTGTCTCAAAAAAAAAAAAAAAAGTTATTCTGTAAATCTAAAACTATAAGAAAACAGCATTAGGATTCTCTAACAAAGAATGCACTACAATTTTGGAATTCAATGTGTAAATGTTCTCTGTGGACGTATGTAAAATTTTTATTATTATTTTGCACTCATTTATTATTAACAAAAGATTTGAACTAAAAAAGTGACATCCTTTTCTGTATTAGATCAGGTTCCCTGGGAGCAGAGCCTGAGGCAGGGGTTTAGGTAGAGACATTTTGGAGGGCATGTGTTCAGGAGAAAGGAAGTGGAGAGGCAGGAAGCACAGGGAAGGAGAAAGCAAGGCAAAGATGGGACCTTGGCTTAGCCTGAGCCCATGCAGGGCTCTGATCTGGACTTTTGTTCCCATGTGGGTCCACCACTGCCTGGTGGTGCCAAGGCAAGGGCCACATAACCCTCTGGGCAAGGCAGAGGAGGGCAGGCCCTGCAAAGGGGTACCTATGAGCTGTTAGCAGCTGGGGGATGGATGCACTAACCCAGTAAAAGGGATCCAAGTGGGTCATCAACAGCACCCCCTGCATGCGCCATGAAGCCATGTGCTAGGGCAACCAACTGTCCCAGTTTGCCAGGGACTGACGAGTTTCCTGGGATATGGGACTTTCAGTTAAAGCAGGACAGTATTGAGCAAACCAGTTGGTTACCCTGTGTGTACTGTCTACATCTGGGAGCCAGTTCTCCCTCTTCCATATGCTAATAACACTTTGGGTCCTCTGTCATTAATAATAATGATAATATTTAATATTTATTGAACATTTCCTCTAGGCCAGGCACCGGGCTGAGTGCTTTATTGTCAGTCGATCTTTAATACTCACAAAAGCACCTGGGGATGGGCGTGGTGGCTCACATCTGCCAAGGCGGGTGGATCATTTGAGGCCAGGAGTTTGAGACCACCTGGGCAATATAGTGAAACCCTGTCTCTACTAAAAATACAAAAATTAGCTGGATGTGGTGGTGCCTGCATGTAGTTCCAGCTACTCAGAAGGCTGAGGCACGAGAATCGCTTGAACCCGGGAGGCAGAGGTTGCAGTGAGCCGAGATTGTATCGCTGCACTCCAGCCTGGGTGACAGAGTGAGACTCTGTCTCAAAAAAAAAAAAAAAAAAAAAAAAGAAGTACTTGGAGGAGGTGCTCAGAATATCCCCACTGAACACACAAGAACACTGAGTTGCCCAAGGTCATACTGCTAGGAAGTGTCAGAGACAGAATTTGAACTTAGGTCTATCTGACCCAGACCTGGACGGTTAACTCAGCCACACACTGCTCTGCAGCAGAATCATGTGTGTGATTCCTGACATGTGCTCTCTTTAGGGAGGGTACCCTGTATTTATCCTTCTTCTGCAGCCCCTGGCACCCAGCACCATTCCCTGAATAGTGTGGAAGCTCTCTCAGTGCGGATAATGGTTCCATTCAAGTTCACTCACTGGCATTCCCCAGTGCCTGCCTTTCTCCTCAGATAATCTAGCCAGAAGCTGGTGGATGCTAATGAAATGGAATGAGTCCTCCTCTGTAACTCCAGCTTAAACCACTCAGTTGGGAAGGTTTTATCCTCCTGTGTTCAAGCAATTTGACTGAAAGATTCAAGGAATGGGGTATAGGTTCAGGTTGATTTTGGAATCAGAGGATCTTGGTTTGACTCTTAACTCTGACACTTTTTAACTGTGTGACCCTGGGTGATTTTCTTTACTTTTCCAGGTCTCGGTTTCCACATCTGTAAAATGGGGTTGCAACAATAAGAATTTTACTCTCAGATTGTTTGTAAGAATTCAATAAACTCCTAGCTAATTTAATAAGTTGACACTGAGCGTGGTGGCTCATACCTGTAGTGCCAACACTTTGGGAGGCTGAGGTGAGAGGACTGCTTGAGTCCAGGAGTTTGGGACCAGCCTGGGCAACATAGTGAGACCCCATCTCAATAAAAAATAGAAGTAAGAATTAGCTGGAGTAATGGCACATGCCTGTAGTCCCAGCTACTCAGGAGGCTGAGGTGGGAGGATGACTTGAGCCAAAAGTTTGAGACTACAGTGGACTAGGATCAAGCCACAGCACTCCTACCTGGGCAACAGAACAAGACCTCGTCTATAATAAACAAATAAATAATTGAGTGCTTTTTATGTGCCAAGCATGTTGCAAGCAATATAATTATGTATAAAGAAATCCTGTCAGTAGCCTTGTAGAGTAGGGACTGTTTGCTGCCTTCCTTTTACTGATGAAGAAACTGAGGCACAGAGTGAAGCAACCTGCCCAACTGGTAGACACGGGATTTGCTCCTTAGCAATGTGGCCTCAGAACCCATGTCCTTAGCCAGTGTGCCAGTCTGGATGTCTGAGGCTTAGGAAATGCTCAGCCAGTGCCAGCCTTTATCACCAACTTTTTATCTGCAAGCCACCTCTCGGACAATCTTCGGTGATAAAAATTTCAGTGTTTTCTTTTCATCTCTATCCAAGGCAGCCAGTCCTGCCCACAGGCCCCAGAGATGGGCTCACTAGGCCCATGCAGACCCCTATAATCTCCCCCTCCAGGCCCCGCTGCCGCCCTTACCGGAGTTGGCGAGGGCCAGGGCCTTGAGCGTCACAAACTCCTCCTTTTCCACCTTGAGCTTCTTGTACCTGCGCACCAGCTGCAGGATGGCCCGGTAGAGCTCCAGCAGCCCCGCGAGGCGGGAGTGCTCCTCATCCATGATGTAGTCCTCAGCATACACCAGCTTGTCGTCATAGGGCAGCGAGCGGTACACGATGCCCAGGATGAGGATCTCCATCCAGGCACTCTGCAGCAGGCTCATCTGGTCCCCCAGGGAGAGGTTCGAGAAGCCTGCGGGAAGAGGGGACACAGAGGGCAGTGGCAGGTCAGAAGGGCGGACCAGGAGCCTCCCTGGGGCTCGCTAGGGGGCAGAGGTTGTAGGGTGTGGCTGTGTCTCTGGCACCCTTGGTTCCTGTCCCCGGGCCTTCCTTGTTTGGTGTAACACTCACTGTCCTCCCCTTGGGGAATGTGTCAGACTTGGAATGCACGGAAAAGACTGAAATAAGAAGAACTCAGTCAATGTTGACAGTTGTTGCTATCATTATTATTGTTAGTTCTATGGTATTTTCCAAATGTCTGTAGAGGCTTTTTGATTCATTCAATGCATTTGTAGTTAGAGGAGTGACTGAGTACATACTGGAACCAGGAAGCAGCATTACGAGCTCTCGGCCACTCTGGGGAGTTTCCAGGGCCCACTCTCTGCTCAAACCAGACGAGGCTTTCGTGTTTGAAAATGACACCCGATCCTTGATGCAGCCTCAGCTGTGCAGAAACCCACAGGCCTTCCCAAGAATGAGGACACAGCTGTTCAAAGCCACAGGGGAAGGCCCCAGCGACCACAGCCTGGGGCTGCTAAGAGATCAAGAGTCCCCGGGGTCAGGGGCACTTTCTCACAGGACAGCCTGTCCTCCCGGAGTCAGAGCACCCCTTCTTGGGCCGTCATTCTCTGCTTCACGATGACCCAGCAGTCCTGTTCTGGGAGCTTGGAATCATGGGAGTTCCCCGCTCCCTGCTACTGAGGAGGCTGATTCCACAGTGAAAATGAAGCTGGGCATGGAGAAGGCTCCAGAATTGCGACACTGTCTTGTCCAGTGAGCTCTGGGTATTGCCTGGGTTGAACGCTGACTCCCATTTACTAGCTGTAGGCTGACCTTGTGGAAACCATGCAACTTCTCCAAACCTTACTTTCCTCATTTAGGAAATGGTTTTATAGTAGGGTCTACTTCAGAGAGTTGCTGTGAGGTCTAATTGAGACGATGATTCCAGAACAAACTAAGTATTTACCGAGCTATTATTACTAATGATGAGATGAGAGTCCTCATCTGCAAAACAATGATAATATACTGGAATTGCATTATACACGCACTTAAATTAGGCAAAGTCAATTAACATCTTGATTTATAGGAGAGTAAGACAGAGTAAGTAAATAAATAAGTCTGCTGATTTTCAAACATCTTAACCACCAAACACAAGGCAGTAACTTCACTGGAGATTCAAACAGAAACTCAGTGATTGGTTCTAACATGGACATGCTGGATTTATTCAAAGAATTGTTGCACCATGCACTATGGGTAGCGGACATGAAGGGATTTTTTTCAGGGTTAGTTTTGCCTAGGAAGGACTTTCTACTTCATTTGCTGACTTAGACCCCATCCCTGGCTGGAAGCCACTTTCTGATGTGGGGTGCTGTGGGGGTGAAGAGAGAAGATGCATGTAAAGTGCTGGGCACCTCTCCCGGCGCCATCAGCACTCAACACGCTAGGGTGCTGGTAATGGCTGCGGCTGTTGTTACTATTAATATTATTGTTGTTGTTGGCACACCATCGGCATCACTCACTTCTCCTCTCTGGACTTGTCTGGAGGTCTGGGTGGTCCTGAGCTTCTGGATCACCCAGCTCTTTGGCTTGTGTGGTCTACTCCATCCATCTGCTGTCCTCTGTCTTCAAATGCCACTTCTTCCCTGGCTTCCACACAGGGCATGGCAGTTGAACCTTAGGGGGCACTCCTGGAGCTGAAGGCTCCCAACTTGGCAGGCCACCCTTACCCTGTGAGCATTCTCCAAGTGAATTATCATGGTGCCCAAGACCGACGGCTCAGATCACCACCGGCTAACAGAATCCGTGGGTGATCAACCAAAGAGCAGGAGTGATTACACCGACTGACACGGGCGAGCTTTGATTGATGCACCTTCTCAAGGGAGAGGCTGTGACAGGGGGTCAGGTTGTGTGTGTGTGTTTGTGTGTGTGTGTGTGTGTGTGTGGTTGTCCAGATTCCCTGCATGGGAGAGGGTGTGTGGCTGCCTGTGGTGGCCGGGGGAGCTGGGAGGTAATAAAAGATAGATAGAAATGGACATCCAATTTCCCTTATCAGGTCTCTGAGTAGGAGAGAGGCCTTGGGCAACATTAATTAACAGATACCAATCAGCCAGCACGGGAGAGTGTGTGGGGGGAGTGTAGGACAGCTCTGGGGAGGGGGTCTAAAAGCAGACAGACTGAAGGGGAGATGGAGGAGGAGGGCAGGAGCAAAATTAGCAGACAGCTGAATTGGAAGGTAGCAGAGAGAGAGGATGAGGTAAGGACTAGGCTTCTGGAAACGCAGGGGAAAAGTCCCCTGTGCAGTGAATCATGCAGGTACAATCATTAGGATGTTACTAGAATGCTTTCCTGCCCTTTGAGACATTCAGCAAAAACTTACTGAGCACCTACTAAGTGCTAGGCCTGTGCTAGGCACCGGGGACAGAATGGTGTGCTCAATCCAGAACTGCTCCCTGCCTTCAAGGGCTTACAGTGAAGGGGAAGACACACACCAAGGGGTACAAATCAGCACAAAGTTAGAATATGAGAAGAGCTACAGCAAATGCAGGGCTCTGAGAGCGTGTAACTGGGGAAGGTGGTCCAAACAAGAGTCTAGGGAAGGCTTTGTGGAAGGGGAGCCTTGAGGGCTGAGCTCTCCAGTGGGGTGGTGAGGGCACCTTTGATGAGGCACGTGCCCAGGTGCCCCTGGTTGGCCCATCCCAGCTCTGAGTTCCCAGGATGCACAGACACTGAGCTCTTCCTTCCCCTACCCCCACGGCTAAGCACAGCAAAGAAGCTGCCTGACAAACCTTTGCAGCTAAAAGGAGAGAGAGGATGGACAAATGCCATGGGCTTCGACTCCCAGGAGACAAGAAAATGTGCCCACGGTACTTGGTTAGACACTCTAAGATCTTTGGACCCAGATTCAGGGCTAGCTGCCTTTGCCTGTCTTGTAGGAGTCAGGCTCTGCCCTTCAGTGGTGGGAGGGAGACCAGACTTGGAAAGTTCTGTGCCGCCATGGGAGGATGTACCCGGGAGGCCTGTTCCCAAACCTCTGCTAGGCTGCTTTGAGTTCTGGACTCAGTCCCTGATTGCGCTCTTCCTCCCTGAACATTTTCAAAAAGCCCTGAAAATAGCTTTGATAATCTACATGTATACTCCAAAGCGCTGAATGGTAATACAGCCTTCTTCATTTTGTGCAAGGAAGGGAGGGGGAGATATTTGATATCTTTTAACATCTGAAATAGTTCAAATATTTTCTAATATTTGCAAAAAGAAACACCAGAAGGAAGATTGAGAAGGAAAAAATGGTGACTTCCAGGAGGTTGGAGGGGAGGGGACAGGGAGAGGTGAGACTTCTGTTATATACATTTGTGTCTACATTTGGCTTCTGAACCCTGTCAGTGATTAAGATGCTTAAAAATAAAAGTAAGTCATAAATATAATTAAATTAAAAATAAAATAAAAGGCATGCTCCCTTCAACCTAGCAATTCTACCACTAGAAATTTCTCCTAGTGGCCAGGCACGGTGGCTCACGCCTATAATCCCAAACTTTGGGGGCCGAGGTGGGAGGATCACGTGAGCCCAGGAGTGTAAGGCCAGCCTGGGCAACATGGCGAAACCCCATCTCTACAAATAATTTAAAAATTAGCCGGACACCGTGGTGCATGCCTGTGATCTCAGCTACTCGGGAGGCTACGGCGGGAGGATCGCTTGAACCCACGTGGTCAAAACTCCAGTAAGCCAAGATCACGCCACTGCATTCCAGCCTGGATGACAAAGCGAGATCCTGGCTCAAAAAGAAAAAAAAAAAAAAAAGAAATTTCTCCTAGAAAGAAAAATATGAATAAAGACATAAAGATAAATGTAAAAGGGTATTAGATCCCTGCTTGAAATTATTCAAAATAGAAAAAAAAGAAGGTAACTAATGTAATGCATGTGATTATTATATAAATGTAATTTTTAGTTAAACGAATGTGCCAAATAAGGTAGAACTCTGTGTGGACGTGGAACGATACCCAAGGGGGCAAAAAGGGTGTCATCGTATGAGCACAGAGATCAGATTCCTAACTGCTGCTCACGCTGCTGCTCAGTGCCTCAGTTTCCTCTTCTGTAAAATGGGAATAATAACAGCACTCACCTCATGGGGTTGTTCAGATTAAATGAGCTGACATGTGGAACACTTAGAACCTTGCTTAGCGCAGGTAAGTGCTATTATTTTGTATAATTAAATGGAAAAAGCCGGTGTAAAGCAGTGTTAGGGTATAAGCCCATGGACTGAGGGACATACACACACCCCACCCACCCACACACCCCACACAGTGGTTGTATCTGCCCAGGAAACTCCCGGAAGGAAGCGTAGGATGGGGAATTTGGAACTCTTAATTTCGACCCATCTGTCCCATCTGACGTCTTTCCTAGAACCACAAATTCTTTTATTTAAAATCCAGAGGGAGCCCAGGCACTCCTCCCTGCCCTTCAGTAAAGCGCCTTCCACCCCTGCCTCCCTCAGCTGGGCTGGGTCTCATGCTCAAGTTATTAGTAACTCTGGGACCAAGAGGCCCCTGAAGAGGCTACCAGGACAGTCTGGGGGTGGCCTGTGCCCCTGGGAGTGCAGGGGTGTCCCTGTGCCGGGCTCACTGCAGTCGGCACTGCCCCCTTGAGGCTCTCGGGCCTGCCCAGAGCTCCTGGCTCCCTGGGCTCCCACTTGGAGCTCCGCTGCCCCAGGAAAATTGTTTTATCTGCACCAACTCCTCTAATAACATTCAGGCTCTTCCCAAGCTCCCCATCCCCCCATCTGTGATTTGGCATCAAAAGCTCCTAGAATTGAAGAAGGAAAAAAAAAAAGCACATAATTTGTGGCAAGTGGAGTTCATAATCTGTTAATTTATGATCGTTTCTGTCGACCTGGAGGGCCATTAGCAGAGGTAATAAAGGGAGATGTAATTATAGGATCTGGGGCCACTTCAGACACAGCTGCTGTCACTCGGCAGCTCATATTTCATTGAGCCAGACGGGGGCTACCTGGGAGCAGCGCTGCTGAGGGACTTTTGTGAGGAGGCCTCTGGGGATGCCCTGCACATGGGAACCTGGGCAGGGCAGGGTGGTGGAGGCTCCCTGGGCAGGCTCTCCTGGCCGGCACAGGCATGTGGCTGCCCAGGGAGGCAGGATGGCGGGCTCGGGTCATTTGGAGGAGGCTGCAATTCATCAAGTGATTCCCCACTGCCTATTAAAGGCTGCTAGCTCTTGATCTCATGGAATAAGAGGTGGACACTCTAAAGACTTGGGCTTGCCCTATGGAGAACTCAATACTTGGAACATTCAACTCAAGGTAAAAAACCTGCATTTGGGGTAGGACAATGTCAGACTGACTTGAACAATGGCTGGGATTCTGAGTGAACCAAGTTCACCCTGGAAGTCAGCCTTGTTCCAAATGGGATCCTTGGGGCAAAATTAATTCCTTGTCTCAGCCACAATTCCTATCAGGGGACCTCATGTATAGTGACTTCTCAATATGTGCATGCAAAGCTAAGTGTGCAATGCCCTCTGTGTGCCAGGCTAGAAGACACTGAAGCATGAGATGTGGTACCTTGTGTTTAAGGACAGTGGCCTAAATTCTTCACAGCTTTACTCCTGAGCAGCCTGGAGTGGCCAGTCTCCCTCTTTCTGTCTGTGCAGGCACCAGAATGGACAGAAGCCAACATAGGCCCAAGGGTGGGCTCCAGCTTGTATCCTCCCTACTCAACCAGCTCTCTCTCTCTCTCTCTCTCAGGGCTAGGGAGACTGTCAGATGCATTTTCCATCTAATCTGAGATGGGATAAAGTTGATTAGTTTAAAAATATCAGGCACCTGGCCAGGTACAGTGGCTCACGCCTATAATCCCAGCACTTTGGGAGGCTGAGGCAAGTGGATCCCTTGAGGTCAGGAGTTTGAGATCAGCCTGGCCAACATGGTGAAACCCCATCACTACTAAAAATAGAAAAAAAAAAAAAATTAGCCAGGTGTGGGGGCACGTGCCTGTAGTCCCAGCTACTCGGGAGGCTGAGGCAAGAGAATTGCTTGAACCTAGGAGGTGGAGATTGCAGTGAGCTGAGAACGTACCACTGCACTCCAGTCTGGGCAAGTGAGCAGAGACTCCATCTCAAAAAAAAAAAAAAAAAAATCGAGAACTTGATTGTGTCATTGCCTTTAGTAGGAGGTTTTCTGTTCTTTCTTTTTTTTTTTTTTTTGAGACGGAGTCTCACTCTGTCTCTAAGGCTGGAATACAGTGGTGCGATCTCGTCTCACTGCAAGCTCCGCCTCCTGGGTTCATGCCATTCTCCTGCCTCAGCCTCCTGAGTAGCTGGGACTACAGGTGCCCACCACCATGCCTGGCTAGTTGTTCTATTTTTAGTAGAGACGGGGTTTCACCGTGTTAGTCAGGATGGTCTCGATCTCCTGACCTTGTGATCTGTCCGCCTCGGCCTCCCAAAGTGCTGGGATTGCAGGCGAGAGCCACTGTGCCCGGCCAGTATGAGGTTTTCATGCAGTGGCAGGAGACTTCACTAATTAATTTTACCTTAAACACTGGAAGGTCAGGAGGCAAAGAATTCGGCATGCAGATTTATGCAAAATAGGCAAATTAGTATTTAAGATGGACAACTGAGTCCCTGTTTTTATTTCATTTTATTTTTTTTACCAAAAAGAATTCAGCTTTGGACAAGGATAAATGAAGCCATGAAAGGAGGCTTTTATTACTATTAGCAACTACAACAGCCCTGGTAAGCGTCTCTGCCATTCGTACACACTGAGTGCGCTACATCCTCACGGCAATCCCGTGAGGGGCTCTATCGGGATTCCCACTTTACAGACAAGGACATTGAAGCTCTGAAAAATTCAGTATGTTGCACAAGGCCAGTAAGGACAGAGCTGAGATGAAAGCCCAGGCTGCCTGATTCAAAAGTCTATGGCTTTAGCACCCACTCTGCTCTAGCCCTGCTGTCTTGGTTGGGCACAGATGGGAGATAGAGCTGGAGGTGGAAAGGCACAGGGAAAAATGAGTGCAGGGGAGACATGGTCTCCTTGTCCTATCTACTTCCTCCGTGGTGTTGCAGGGGTAGGGTTGTGGAAGAACGAAGCATTGACCCAGGGGACCGCCAGGCGCCACTCATGAGCCATTGCTAGGATGCAGGATCTGTTCAACCTAGAACAGGAGTGTGGGGGTGGGGACAGGGGTACCTGTACCCAATTTGGCCCTGGGTTAGTGGAGCAATCCAGGCTGAAGTGTCTTAAGCAGTGGCCTGACCCCACATCTGTGCTGAACCAGCACTGGGCAGATTCAAAAACTACTGAGTGTATAATCCCCGAGAGGTTGAGCTCCTTAGTAAGGGCGTACCAGCCCAGATCCCTGGTCAGAATGCCCAGGGGCCACCGGGCAGTCCCTGCCAGCAGAGTCTCTGGGCCATCTGATATCTTTGTGCGTCCCTGTCCTTTAACTTGGGCATGCAAGGTCTCACACGGAAGGACTTTTTTTATTCCCTCAATCAACTGTGGGCCTTGGGCCAGGCATGGTGGCTCACGCCTATAATCCCAGCACTTTGGGAGGCCAAGGTGGGCAGATCACTTGAGGTCAGGAGTTTGACACCAGCTTGGCCAACATGGCAAAACCCTGTCTCTACTAAAAATACAAAAAAATTAGCTGGGCGTGGTGGCGGGCGCCTGTAATGCCAGCTACTCGGGAGGCCGAGGACTGAGAATCACTTGAACCTGGGAGGCGAAGGTTGCAGTGAGCCGAGATCGCGCCATTGCACTCCAGCCTGGGCAACAGGGCAAGACTTTCTCAAAAAACAAACAAAAAAACAACTGTGGGCCTTGGTATCCAAAGTCTAGGACACCTTTGCTGTATCATCTGCATGCTGTATTCACCTTTCAGAGCCACAACAAATGAAACACAGATCTACAGACAGGAAGCTGACTTGTCCCATGTTCACGGTGAGGCATCACCAGAAAGATAAAAGGAGTTTCTACCACACTCTGAGTCAACATTTTAGAGTCTTAAAGGAGTTGAGGAATAAACTGCACAGAGAAAGGCCCCCAATATGTATGTAATGTAGAATACATGGGTGTTGGTGTCTACAAAAATAAAAAAGCTCCTGCCATCTGCCCAGACCTAGAGAGGCTGAAAGCAGGGTTTGGGTCCACACACAGCGAAGAGAAGTCCACACAGCCTGAAACATGTAACACACACTTTCCGCACCAGAAAGGCCCTTAAAATCTCAGAAGCCAACCCAGAGACAGGCCTCCCTTAGAGAACAGATGAATGGCAATAGTGGGCATGCAACCGATGCCAGCACATGCCAGACACTGTGCCGAACGCTCCACGAAACATAGGATCTCATTTCATGCTCACATCAAAGCTCACAAAGTGGGGGACTCTTGTATTCCCATTTGACAGAGAGGTCAGGTGGCCTCTAGGGTTACTCAGCTAGTAAGCTGCAGACCCAGAATTGGAATCCCAATCTGATTCCCAAGCCCATGCTCTTCACTGCTCCATTCTGCTGCCTCCAATAGGAAGAGAGAGTCAGTCTTTCTTCTGTTGTTTTCCGGCATTGTTCCAATAAGGTCTACAGGAAAACCCTACTCTTTGCCCTTTAAGGGCTCAAGGAACTTTTTCTTTGAATATTACACTAATTGTAGATTCAAACATGGCCCCACCTTGAATGATAACTAATTCTGAAGAGCCTGCAGCAGTGTATAAGCCTCACTGGGCCCTCTAACTACCTGTTCCTCTCCAATGCTACAAGGAGAGAAGAGGAGCTCAGAGAAACAGGCCTGCCAGGATTTCACAGGCCTTCTGGGGTCCAGGATCTGGGCATCAGAAGCACAGCCATTGGGTAGGCTGCGGGGATGCTGGCTGGGTGTCCCTGGCCATACTCTCCCCTGGTCCCACATGCTCACCTGGGATGTGCTTGGCCCAGCCAATGATGACCACAAGCTCTCGGTCTGCCAGGTCACAGAGAGTGGTCAGGGCCTTGATGTCCCCCTCAGGCATACCGGGGGGAGGCATGGCGTAGAGCTTGTCTGGCTCGGCCACCAGTAGGTATGAGACAATCTTGGTCACTGCAACAACCAAAGAAGGAAAGGTAAAGGCTGGGAAAAGAGGAAAGGGGCCAGGGTGGAGGCTCAGATGGGTCAGGAAGCAAAGTCGGGTTCCTAAGAGCCCCAGGAAGGTCAAAGTGGCTGTAATCTCCCCTCCTGTTCTGGCTCCATGAAGTTGATGATAGCAGTGATCTGGGATATTGAGAAATATCTCTCCAAGGGAAGTTGCCTGATGAATTCTCCAGGAGGAACCTGCAGAGCAACCTTGGGTGGGTGGCAAGGGGAGCATGTTCTGGACATTGGGGCCTGTGGCTTGTCAGGACCATGCTTCAATTGGAGTCACATTCTAAATGTGCCAGGCACTGATGTCACCTCCCCAAGATCCATATTGTCTCATGACCCAGTGGTGGGAAGATGACGTTTCCCTAAGGGATGCCTGATGTTCCAGGTACAGAGATGATCTGGCAAAAAGGACAGGGACTGACACTCACATGGCTTTTTAGCAGGTGGAGAAATTTGTAAGCTCAGGTACGGGCTGCTCTCTGAGTCCAGCCGTCGCTTGTATTTCTGGCGGCCTCCACGCACTCGATCAAGGCGCACACCTATTGGGGAGCAAAGGGAAAAGATCTCAGGAGTTGTTCAACATCACCAGGGTAGAAGCACTGACTTTGGAATTTCAGCATTGGCTGGGTCCTTCAGGGCCATGCTCAGATGACCTCTGACAGCTGCCCCATGGCCAGCCTCAGGTCAGGTGGCTGGACAATCCTAAAATAATTGTCTAACAGTAATGGCGCATCCCAGTTGCCCCAGGCCTGGTCCTGTCTCTCTGGATTCAGCATCCTTCTGAAATCCATCTCAAGCAACCCTCAGCCCTTGGTTCTCCTTATCTCAACAAAGACACTCTACCAAGTGCTGGCGGAAAAAGTCACATTATGTTAGATCTGCTTTGAATCCAGGGAGGGTTAAGTTAACTTGCCAACAAAAGAAAGGAATCCCAGTCATTCACAGGCACTTCAGGGGTTTTCACATTTTCCACATAAGAAGCATCTGAGGAGGCACTCATTACCAAAGTCAATTTCTAGATCCCCCCTCTGAGGTTCTAGCATAATGCTCTAGAGTCTGTCTTTACACAAGTCCCTAGGGGCTGGGAATGCAACAGTTGGACTGGCCACCTCTGGACCGGAAAATCCGTGCCTGGAAATATCTTGAAAGTAGGTTCAAAAGCAGCCGTGGCTACTCCACGTTGACACCCACTTCCAGGAGTGAGAGTTTACCCTGGAGAGAACTGTCATTGTCACTGTATCCAACTTGCCTTCCAGAAGTCTGCCTCACCCACAGCTCCTGCTGCCTGGACAGACACGATGGTACCATTTCAAGCGCCCTACCAGCAGATCAAAGGCACAGGGCCTCAGGTGGGCACACAGCTCAGACTGGCTACCCACTGATGTGGCCTGGCCTGCAAGGATGAATCCCAACAAATTGGTTACAAAGTATGAACCAGCGCAAAAGCACCAGCGAGCAGGTGCCCCAAGCATGGTGCTGGGGCCCTGTGGAACCTGGAAGCCACTTCTGCTTTCTTGCTGTGGCTCTTCCAGGCCAGCCTCAGACAATGTCCCTTCTTGGAGTCCCTGCCTCGAGCTCACAGAACAGCTCCCTTTTCCTGACCATGAAATGGGCCTTGACTGAAACACACAAGAAATCAGACACGGAGACCAGAGTCCTCAGAGAAGCAAGCTGGTTGCCACCTCAGCCTCTGCTGTGACAGGCCAGGTTCAACTTCTGTTCTTTTCCCCAAAGGCGGTGAGTATCACCCTCACAGAGCCCCTCACAGTTGACCTTCAGGGCCCTGTCTTTCCCTTTCTAATAAACTCTGGTGCTTCCTAGATCGGGAGCAGAAGAAACAGAATCTTCATCCCTGTCCCAGCCTTGTCCATCCTTCAGCCCCAGAGGGTTGGCTGCCAGTCCCCCGATTCAGGCGTTTCTCCAGGAGAGGCAAGGGGAAGCCTGAACAATGGTTACTTAGTGGAGTGATGATTTAGAGCCCATTCATGCCTGGGGCTATTTTCTGGCTGTTTCTTTATTAGGATGTACAGCTACTAAATTTAAGTCCCTGGGAAGGAGGAAGTTTCCTAGAGCAACTGAAAGCAAAATTACTTTGTTTACTGAATGAGTGGAGAAAATTCCTTTAAGTGCACATTGCCCTAAAGGGCTTTCGGGGTGCTGAGGACACTACCCCCCACCCCTCTGCTGTCCCAGGTGTTTTCAGTTCAGGACTCCAGGTCACATCCCCCGCTGGAGGGCAAGAATGCTGTGAGCTCACTGAGTGAGCCTATAACTCCACATTTTTGTCAGCAATGTCTTTTTCAACCCCACAACCTGGTGCATTTGTACCTGGTGCTACATGGTTGCAGTGAACGTTTTTTAGTCGGGGAGAGGGGGAGTCTATTCAGCAGCCCACCCGGGCTTCCTGTTTAAAGGAAATTCCCCTGGTCAGGCGCTGGGGCTCACGCCTGTAATCCCAGCACTTTGGGAGGCCATAGTGGATGGATGCCTTGAGGTCAGGAGTTTGAGATCAGCCTGGCCACCATGGCGAAACCCCATCTCTACTAAAAATACAAAAATTAGCCAGGTGTGGTGGCACATGCCTGTAATTCCAGCTACTCGGGTGGCTGAGGCACAAGAATCACTAGAACTCGGGAGGTGGAGGTTGCAGTGAGCCAAGATCGCACCACTGCATTCCAGCCTGAGTGACAGAGTGAGACTCCATCTCAAAGGAAAAATTTTAAAAAAATTTTAAAAAGGTAATCACCCTCTTGGGAATAGGGGAATTGTTGGAAGCCTGCACCTCACCCCTCAATGGATATCTGAGTAGTACACGTTCTTCTCTCTGCCCTCTGGAGGTCAAGGCATGAACCCATGACACAGGCTCAGTCAAGTGCACCATCAAATGGAGGCACAAGGGCAGAGTGAAGGTGAGGACTGATCAGACCAGCAGCGCCTCCACGGTGGAGTGTAGGCAGCCCCTGGCCAGTGTGTCCTGGCTACTGGGTGTCCTGCTCTTGGGCTTTCCAGGGATTCTCGTGGTTCTTGTCTGGTTTCTCAATGTACTCTTTGAGCCTCCTGATAGGCTTCCAATAAACTCCCCTTCTGCCTAGAAGGTCAGGTTTTGTAACTGACAACATCTGTTGTTGACTTCTCCAGGAGCAGAATCTGCGACAAGGCTGTGCATGCGGACAGTTTCCAAGGAGGGAAGAAAGCCAGTAACAAATGTGTTCCTGAGGACAGTACTGCTGTGGGCAACTGAGGCTCCCAGCTGCAGGCTGCTTTGGCGCTTCTTGCCTGCCTCCCAGGTCCAGGCTGAGCAGACTCTGGTGGCCAAACAAAGCCCAGGCGTCAGATCAGCACACACACACTCACACACACGCACGCACGTATGCATGCACACATACGCACACACACACAAATAGAGAGTGCTGAGTAGGTGTGGGCAGGAGCAGTCTCCGCTGTCTTCCTCCTCAAGTGTGGTCTGCAGGCCAGCATCATCGCCATCATTTGAGGCTTGGTGGAAGCCTCGAAATCTCAGGCCTGGCCGCAGAGGAATCAGACAAGGTGATTTGCATGAAAAACAGAGTTTGAGGAGCGCTGCACTAAGGCATCCTAGCAAATACAGCTGTACCATCAACTTGTACCTGTACCTTGGACCCTAAAGGGACAGCTAGATGCCATCCAGCTCCAGACTGAACCTATATGCTGCCAGCACTTTGGCTCACATTTGTCCCCTCACCCCTCCAAGCCCCTTCAGGGAGGGCAGAAGGAGCAGACACAAACACAGGAAGGATGATTTTTCCTGTGAAAGTTTTTTGGGAAAAGTTCCCTGTCTAGAAAAGCTTTCTGACTCTATCCTGTGACGTGTCTACATAGAAGCCTCCTCTGTTCACTATACCCAGGCCAAACCAAACCCTCCACCAAGCTCTGCTTCCCCTTGGAATGGTGACGGGACCAAGAGTGAAAACGGTCCACCTCATCCATAAGAGACAGTAGGGGCCCCCACTTACTGAGCACCTACTGTATGCCAGGATCTTAAACATATACTCTCCTTGAGTCCAGGACAAGCCCCAACCCCACTTTACTGACCTTCTCTCCTAGATGCCACTGGAATGAACTCTCACTTCCCATCCACCCTGCTTCCTGGTAAGCAGCTGTCAATCACAGTGAGACGTGCTCAACACAAAATAAAAAGAGGTGTCCGTCCTTCAGCAAGGCAAGGAGACGGGCAGCCGCCACCTCTGCTGATGGCTCCATCTGGGGTGTTCTGCATCCTGATATAGGGCCTGACCTTTCATGGACGTTCAGGAAAGGCTTGATATTGAATACAAGGGTGGATGTACCTCTTTCCTCCTCATCCCCATGCCGGGTTTCTTCATGGGCTCCCAGAGCACACTGGGCTTCCCTCCCCTACTGACCAGGTGCCCGTTAAGGCCAGGGGCGGCTCACAGTCCTGCCCCAATGTCTGTCAAGGTACCCAAGACACAGCACGTGCTTAGAAAATGAAAGTATTATTATTATCATCATCATCCTTATTATTACTGTTCCCCAGCATTGCACCCAAGTTTTTGCTAAATCACATTAATAATGATAACAGCATAATTTGTAAAGGACTCTCTGTATGTATTACCCTACTGAATGCACAAAAATATAAAGCAGGTGCTATTATCCTCATTTTCCAAACAAGAAAAACTGAGGCTCAGAGAGATTCAGTAATCTGCCCAATAAAAGACCCAAGGTCTTTGCCATTCCATGGTATGACCTCCCAGGGTACAGCAAATGTAAGTTCTCCTCTAAATTTTCTCCTCCAGATCTTTACAGCATAGTGGTCAATGGCTCCAATCAATATGTGTATCAATTATCAGGTTATGCTGTTAAAAAAAAAAAAAAAGTGGCCCAGGCTGGAATGCAGCGGTGTGATCTCGGCTTACTGCAACCTCTGCACCCCTAGCCTGGGATCGGGGAAGATGGACCCCCACCTAAGTGAAGTGGCCTTCTTCTTTTTTTACTGTTTTTGAGACAGACTCTCACTGTGTGGCCCCGGCTGGAATGCAGTGGTGCGATCTCGGCTCACTGCAACCTCTGCCTCCGAGGTTCAAGCCATTCTCATGCCTCAGCCTCCCGAGTAGCTGGGACCATAGGTGTGTGCCACCATGCCAATGGGATGTCAGGGTAAGTCCATGGCGGGACTTCTGGAATGGTTTTGCTTTTCTGAGAAAAGGGACAGACATGTTCAGTGCAGCTCTTTTTGCCTTTCTCTTGCCCCAACCTGGAAGGTGAAGCCTACAGCTGTGGCAACCACCTTGCAGTCATGACATGGCTGTCTGAGGACACCAAAGAACACTGGAGAAGAAAGAAAGAGCTGGAGCCCCTGCCGCTATGGCTGAGAGCTCTATGCAATACAGCAGCTGCCAATCTCCAGGCTTCTTGTAAGGTGGAAAAACCAACTTCATTTATCCATGCTTACGCTGCTATCAGGTTCTCTATAACTTGCGACAGAAAGCAATTTTCACTGACTGATACAATGGGCAATTACTTTTAAAATTAGGATGCTTAA